CAGCAGGTGTAACAGCCTGACACAGCTTGACCTGAGCTCCAACCTGGTTTCTGTACTTGATGGTGAGTTAAGGTTTGCTCTGCTCTGCGTGGTCCACTCCCTTCCAAAACCAACTCACACTTGCCAAAGGACGAAGCTACCTTGCCTAGCCTGCCTAATCCCCATGCCTGAACAACATGCTCATCAGTGGGAACTATGACCCACTAGGAGAATTTCCCAAGTTCCCCCACTGGGCCTACTCCCTGACCCAGATCTCACACAGCAGGTGGTAGTCCCTTGTCTGGTTTAGCTTTTCTCTCCATCTTGGTTTTGTATGAGCTGGTGAATGCTGTGGCCCTGCCTACCCTACATGCTCTTTCGGATGTACATGTGGGTGCTGTAGTCTGGACTTGCCCAGACTGTTCTCAATCCCTGCACCTATGAGTGTTGGCAGGTTCCAAGGTCACAGCTAGCTTAACCATCACCACCCCAACTCCTCAGTTAACCAGTGAATCTTGTATTTCTACAGGTTTGGCCCACATATTCCCCATAGAATCTACCCCAGATCTGGTTCTTTCACATGCTGGTCAGTGTTATGGCCCTGCCTAATGTGACCTGTCCCCTGTTTTAACATTCAGTCAAGCACCGGGTTCTAGTCCTGCTGGACAGGTCCCCAGCCCTAGCTTTACGCACTGGCATGTGGTGGTCAGCAAAGTTTCATGTTCCTAGCTTAACTCAGAGCTCCCATGTGGGCTGGAGCATGAGTCTGACCCATACAGATTTTTCTAGTCTCTCCCATCTAAACCACCAGGTCTCGATCTCCTTGCTTACCTGCAAGTACAGTGACCTTATCATTGGGTGTCCCTCTGTATTCATTCCTCACCTACATCTACGGTGGCCTTAATCATGAATGTACTTGGATAGTAATTCCATACTCCCAGACACCAGCGTTCACTGCCTGGCATCCAGTAGGTATAGCCCGGTGCCGATTGGTGCTCTGGCTACCTGCAAGCCTAGGATTCGCCCACTGCTTGGTAGTGGTGGACAGGGAGCTAGGATACCCAGCTGGAAGCCTGGTCAGGTGTGGGTTCTCCCAGCCACAACCATGTGGCTAGCAGAGTAAGGTTCCCGTGCCTCTGAGCCGACTTACCTGGACTCCGCCCACCAACGTGGAGGCAGTGGGCAGAACCACAATCCCGGGCATGCCCAAGTCATCCCTGAGAGCCAACTACAGCATTATCACTGTGGACAGAGGAAATTCTCAGACCTCGGGCCTGGATGTGCCCAGGATTCGCCCACCACTTGGCAGCAGTGGACAGGGAGCTAGGATTCCCAGCTGGAAGTCTGGCCAGGTATGGGTTCTCCCCATCACAGTTATGTGGCTGGGAGAGTAAGGTACCCATGCCTCTGAACAGACTTACGTGGACTCTCTAAATTGAAGAGCCAGCAAATGTTTTCACATGGTTAGTGCTACAATTAAATTTAATGTGTGCTTCAAAATGTTGCAAAACATAATTATCTTAGAGGAGGAACAAAGAGGTTCATTTAATTGGTGTGTGAACTTACTGGTATTAGTGCAGAAACCAGTGTTATAATTAGAATCATACTTCATACAATTAAATGCGCCCCTCAGGGGAAGAGCCAGTATATTCTATTTTTGTCTTGTACAAAGCAGGTCTAGCAGAGGACTATGTTACTAACCTGCAATTGCTAGCATTTTAACAACCTGAAGAAATTGTTTCACTGTGGCAAAAACAGCTGCTCTGATGCTCCCCACACCAGTGGTCCTTGAAATGAAAGCCAAAGCAGAAGCAGTGTGTTTCACTGGCATCAAATACGAAAGCTTTGCCAGTCCAAAGCTGCCTTCAGATGACAAGTCCACTGGTTAACACTCCTCAGTACACACAGCGGATGGACTCTAGAACCTCTGTGCACTCAAAACCCAAGGATGCTCCAGTCCCTTCTCTGAAATAACCCAGTACTTGCAGATAATCTATTTCCTGTACACTTTAAAATCATCTCTAGGTTGCTTATAATTGTTAATATAAATGTCATGAATAATTGCCATGCAGTACTGTTAGGGATTAATACTAAAAAAAAAGTTTTTAACATGTCCCATGTACATACAATTTCCTCCCAATATTTTTGTCCTACAGTTAGTTCAATCTATGAATGGGAAACTTGCAGACATGGAGGGCCAACTGTGGACCCTTTTTGCAGTTACAAAGCACCTTCTCAGTCTATTTTCAAGTAATGATCTTAGCTGCGCTTTCTACATTTAGCACTTATCATGGGCCTGATATGTGTTAAAATATTATCTCAATCAATCTTTACGACCATTCTATGAAGTTATCCCTGCTTTACTGTTGAAAACATCAAAGCTCGGGTAAGAGGAGGAAGTGAGCTGAAGCTTAGCACGCTCAGATCTGTATTAACAGAACTTATCTATCAAAGCCATCCATAAGGACCTGTTAGAAACTGTGAAACTGCACTGAACAACTGATTTCACCATTGTGGAAGGCATTTTCATGGAGTAGGTTTCTACAGTGACAGCAAGGACTTTGGCCTAAAAACTCTTCTGTATCTTGGAGAGAAGTGGGAAAACTGCTCACTAGCTGTTATCCAAATGACGCTGAGAATTAAAAAAAAAAAAAAAAGATTTATTTTTATTGGAAGGAGAAAGAGCTTGTCTCCAATGGTTCATTCCCCAAAGGGTTGCCATGGCCAGAGCTGCCTTCCGCGGCCGTAAGCAGAGCTCGGGCCATCCTCTGCTGCCTTCCGTGGCCATAGGCAGGGATATGGCTTGGAGATGCAGCAACCAGGACACAAACCAGTGTCCATATGTGATGCTGGTGCTTGAAGGTGAACAACCAGCCTGCTGAGCCATGGCATTGGCCGTGAGATTTTTTGACAAGATACACACGGGAGTTATTTAGAACCCACTATTGGGTGGGATTGAAAATTTTGGTGCAGAAAGCAGGCATGTGGTGCCTTGTTAAGGAAACTTGTGCAAACCAAGAGAAGCATTGTTCCTGAGTGTATCGAAATGCTACTAACCAGTGGGACTTAGGAAACCCTATCCAAGAAAGAAGTGATTTTACTAGAAAGGAGGTGAAATGCTAATTTAACATATACATTTCAACAAACAAAAGATCAAATGCAGGATTTTCAACTAAGTGCCAAGTTTTAAAAGTAACTACATGTGGCCAGCTGCTGCTTACAGCACCAGCACCCCATGTAAATGCCATTTGAATGCTGGCTGCTCCACTTCTGATCCATCTTCTTGCTAATATGCCTGGAAAGCAGTGGAGGATGGTCCAAGTCCTTGGGCCCTGCACTCACATGGGAGATCTGGAAAAAAACTAGATTCTGCTGGACCCAGCCCCAGCTGTTGTGGCCATTTGGGGAATGAACCCCAGAATGTTAAGACTGCTCTCTCCATCTTTGTAACTCTGCCTTTCACACAAACAAAATAAGTCTTTAAAAAGAAATCAGTCATTGCTCAGTATCATTTGAAAATTAGAGCCCGCCAAAGCTTTAGGACACTGCACCCATGTGGGATACCCAGAAGAAGTTCCTGGATCCTGGCTTCAGATCAGCATAGCATCGGCCGTTGCGCTCACTTGAGTAGTGAATCATTGGACAGAAGATCTTCCTCTCTGTCTCTCCTCCTCTCTGTATATCTGACTTTCCAATAAATAAATAAATCTTAAAAAAAAAAAAGAAAAGAAAATTAGAGCCCAGCACAATGGCTCAGAAGCTAAATCCTTACCTTGCATTTGCCAGGATCCTATATGGATGCCAGTTTTGTGTCTTGGCTGCTTCACTTCCCATCCAGCTCCCTGCTAGTGGCCTGGGAAAGCAGTAGAGAATGGCCCAAAGCCTCAGGACCCTGTATCCATGTGAGAAACTCAGAAGAAGCTCCTGGCTTCGTATCAGCTCAGTTCTGGTTGTTGTGGTCATCTGGGGAGTGAATCAGTGAATGAAGATCTTTCTGTCTCTCCTTCTCTGTATAAATTTGATTGGCCTTTCCTATAAAAACAAATAAAATATTTTTAAAAAACATGCATTTTGTTTGTTCAAATGCTTAAACAACTTTTCTGATTAGTTTGACTATAGTTCTAATGACTTTTTAGGAAGTCTAAAAGACCTTTTTCAAAAAGCTCAGAATTCCAAACTGAGCCCCAAGTTGAACATACCATTCTTTCTTCTTTTTAATTTATTATTTTTGTTGAAAAGGCAGATTTACAGAGAGGAAAGACAGCAAGATCTTCTATCTGCTGGTTCACTCCCCAAATGGCCATGATAGCTTATCAGGAGCCAGGAGCCTGTCGGTACAGGGTCCCAGTGACCTGGGCCATCCTCCACTGCTTTTCCAGGCCACCAGCAGAGAACTGGGTGGGAAGTGGAGCAGGTGGGACCTGAATCAGAGCCCATGAGAGATGCTGGTGCTTGCAGGTGAACTGAGCCACTGCATCGGCCCCACATACTGTTACCTCTAAGGAAGGCAACTGTGGCTTGTCTGTCCTCGCGGTGGAAACGAAGGTCGGAAACATTTACAGGAAGCCTGCTTATATCCCACGGACTCTGCTAGGCACTTCCAAGTCATGGAGCTCAATTCAGGTCCGTCTCTCTCTAGTCTTTTCTCTGCTGCATCCATCAGTTACTGAATTCAATTCAACAACTTAACACTCATCATGGGCTGGAGACTTGGTCAAATATCATCCAAATGAATCTTTCTAATAATCCTATCAATAATCTACAGCTATAAACAATTTCATACACCATACCAAAAAAAAATTAAGATGCACTGAAACACTTCTGAAAGTTTCAGGCCTTGTTGAGGTAAGCCATTCATGAGCTGCTTCTCACCCTGCAGCTATGTTTCCTGTCACTGACAGCGACTTGCTCATCCTGCTCCAAACAAGCAGACTGTTGACCCTTCCAACTGTCTTTCTGCTTGCTTGGAGCTGTGTGTCCGTTTATGAACACACTTTGATCAGAACAGAAGGAGGCTGGGGTATGTATGACCAATTATGATTTATTATGGACAAATGGTAGAAAAAAGTGCTGTTACCTTGCAGAGTTAAATTCTTTGAGTCACATTTAAAGAGAGATTGTTATTAAAAGTTTCCTTTATTTTCCTGTTGAATCAAGCAGTAGCTAACAGTTACAGTTAGATTTTTTTTGGTGCCATCTCAAATATAGCACAATTAGCAATGCCTTATCAATAATCAAACAGGTCCCAGTGCTTATGTCCACATCCAGGCTGCTCAGCTGGTCAGGAACTCTTTTACTGGTTTTCTTTTGCTTTTAGTTCTTGGTTATATCTACAAAGCAAACAGAAAAATAATGACCAACAATAATAGATTAATTTATGATAAGAGAATAAGAAGCATATTCCATTTCTTCTTTTCCAATTGCCAAATGACTATGGGTTGTAAATACAATCTTCCCAGCTATTCACAGGTAGAAATAGGCAGAGGGGAAGTGGCCCAAAGAGTTTATTTGTTCCTGGCTTGTGGTTCTGATAAGAGAAGATCTCAAAAGTCAAAAAAATTTAACACCTTAATTAACATACAGTTTCCTGTGTAATGGATGATGTCCTTGAACTACATGACAAACGTATAAAATGGGGCAAAATGTGATCATTTAGAAGTTTTAATTGTCTAGTCATGAAGCACCTTGTACTCTTAAATGGGGAATGGGTTCCTATGTAATCACTACGAGAAAAATCAATCTGAGTGATAACAGGCAGGATACTGAATTAAGCTCTCTTACTTAAACTGACTACAGCTAAGGACTATTTCTTCAGTTCTCATCCACTCAAAGAACAACCCTCAAAGTATTCTCTTTCACAACATCCTGGGCTTCTTTGTTTATTCTTCCCCCCAGCTTGCAGAGAACATGTAAGTGCACGAAGGATCTTGTTCCAAAAACCTGCCATACTTCCTATACTTCCCAGAAGATCTGAATATCAAATGTTTGACCAGATTATCATGATCATCAATCATCCACAAATAATAGAGACTTCTTCCTAGTAGTTTAAAAAGTTTCCACTGCTCCTGGAGCACTTCCCAATTAAACCAAACGCCTTTATTCTTATCATTTCCATTACTACACAGATAGACATTGTAAATCAAAGAGATTTCTAGAAAGGTTAAATGTTAAATATCTGCTTCTGACACTTTGCAGTCTTAGCACTCTATGTGAATCTGTAAGAAATTGTTGCCACCTGGGTCGTTTCTGAAGTCTCTTTCGGAAGAGCATCTTGGTAAACTTACCTCCATATACGGAAGAGCTGAGAGGCACCTGCTGCTCCCACAAAGAAATTAACTGCAAACAGACTCCAATTTTTGGGGATAATTACAAGAGAGTATCTTGACCAAATAAACCCTGTTGACATAAAATTTTAAGGTACTGATGATATTGTTTATATCAATATTCAATATTAACATAATTATAAGACTTTGACACAATGTTGAAGAACAAAGCAATACTGTCCCCTGAGTCCTCAAAAAAGTCTCTAAAACTCAGAACTAAACAGCAACACCCAGTTCTGCTAGTGAGGACTCTCCTTAATTAGCTTTATTTTTCTACTTATAAAAATAGGTTCATGGCAAAACCCTGAAAAACAAAACTTCTACACTACTCACAGCCATCTTCCTTTTTCCCTCCATCCAGTAACTGTCTAGAGGTCACACTGAATTTTTTAGTGTGTATGTGTAAATTTTGAAATGTTAAACTATGAAATGAACTGATGTAAAACATAACAACAATAATTTCCATAAAGATGATAACTCACCTGTAGCCATCAAGACAGCAGACTGAGCTGTGCTCAGTTTGTCGGCAGGTCTAGCCATGTCAGCCAGTCCAGCACACACCAGCCCCTGGAAAATTTAACGCATACAAAGAAAAAATTGGCAAAATGTGTTAAACCACCATTTGCAACGCCAACATCCCATATGACCCTGGTTCTAGATCTACTTCAGCTCCAGCTCCCTGTTAATGGCCTAGAAAAAACAAAAGAAGATGGCCTACGTCTTTGGCTCCCTACACCCATCCTGGTGTATCCCACACCTTATCCTGGAGGGAGACCAGGACAAAGCTTCCGGCTCCTGACTTTGGTCTGGCACAGTCCTGGCCATCGCAGCCATTTGAGGAGTGAGCCAGTGGATAGAGGATCTCTCTCTCAATCTCTGTAATCCTCTTTCTCTCGCTCTCTGTAACTCTGCTTTAAAAAAGAAAAAACAAAACAAAACAAAGAAACAAAAAACAATCACAAAGAAAACAGAAACAAAAAAGGCATCCTGAGTGTGGAGTGATCGTTTTTAAGTTTAAATATGAAATATTTAGCAGGTTTCCAAATAACAGTAGCTATACTTTCAGTATCTATGCATTAAGAAAATGTAAATCATGACAAAAAGCTACAATGAGGTGAGGAATGGTTTTTGGACTAATTTTTTATTTTCCTAACATATTATGCAGCAGGCTCATATACTTAAAAATCAGCACTGTATATAAGATATAGAAGCATATATTTGTTTCCTATATTTTATGTAGTTGTGCCTTATATGTTTTGAGTTTTTTGGGTCTATGAATTTCACATATGAATTTATGCTTTTTACTGTGTGCACAGTAGAACCCACTGGATGTGGAAGATGCCTAAAAGCTGCTTGAAGTCATTTGCATGGATTCCTCTTTTCTCTCAATACTCTTCCTTAAAAGCAGAAGTGTCAGAAAAGATCTATTATAAGTTGTCTTTTGATTAACTTTAAAATGAACTTTTTCAAATAAACCAAGCAACAATAAAAAATATGTTATGCTAAAGGTTCTGTAGCGACTCCATGACGCACTGAGAAAGAGGCAGATGCCCTGTGGCTGCTTCCAAGACGGCAGTGCGAGTGTCTGAGAGCACAGAGCTTGGAACAAACTGTCTGGAGGTCGACATTTTCACACTGCCACTTGCTAAGAGCGGGAATAGTAATCTGGTTTTTGACGCTAGTATGCTTGCATGGAAAGCAGTGTCAATGTTTCTCTGACTTGGGGGAGGTTGAGGATTAAATGAGATAATATATTCAAAAAATACAGTTTGGCACCCAGCAGTCACAGGTTGGCTCCCATTGCTCCAGTCATCTGGAAAATGTTTCTCCAATATCTAATATGTTTGTGATTTTTATTTAAAAGATTTATTTATTTTTATTGCAAAGTCAGGTATGCAGAGAGGAGGAGAGACAGAGAGGAAGAGCTTCCGTCCGATGATGCACTCCCCAAGTGAGCCGCAATGGCTGGTGTTGTGCAATCAGAAGCCAGGAGTCAGGAGCTCCTCCAGGTCTCCCACATGGGCACAGGGTCCCAAAGCTTTGGGCCGTCCTCGACTGCTTTCCCAGGCCACAAGCAGGGAGCTGGATGGGAAGTAGAGCCACCAGGACTAGAAGCGGTACCATATGGGATCCCAGCGTGTTCAAGGCGAGGATTTTAGCTGCTAGGGCACTGCAATGGGCCCCATGTTTGTGATTCTTGCTGGCAACTCATTATGTTCACTGGGCTGAGATAAATAATCATGACAATGTTTAAAGTGCTTTCTCCTTTAAAAACATGTTTTCTTGTTTATCATGTTTAATAAGATACATGTCACAAGGCAGTTCTAGAGGAGGTTTTTTTTTTTAAGATTTATTTTTTATTGAAAAGGTAGATTTACAGAGGAGAGACGGAGAGAAAGATCTCAGTCTGCTGGTTCGCTCCCCAAATGGCAGCAACAGCCAGAGCTGAGCCAATCTGGAGCCAGGAGCTTCCCCTGGGTCTTCCACATGGGTGCAGGGTCCCAAGGCTTTGGACTGTCCTGGACTGCTTTCCCAGGCCACAAGCAGGGAACTGGATGGGAAGTGGGGCAGCCAGCACATGAAGCAGTGTGCATTCCTGGTGCGTGTCAGGCAGGGATTCAGCCACTGAACCATTCTGCCGGGCCCTAGGGGACTGTTTAAAAAGTAAAATACTACAACAATGTATATCAATCCCAACATGCTTAGGCATAATAAAATCCTCAAGTTTGTAAACTGAATTAATTTGTACCTCAGTGTGAAATGCAAATAGATAAAATCTATATGGACATTTTTGAAATAGTTTGAGTTGCTTTCAATGAGAAGAAAAATTAGCCACACCAAATTGTTGAAGAGCTAAGTGATAACATGTTGTCCAAAAACATGATGACCCAAGAACAATGGAAGCTCTGCTAAGTGCCCTTGTTACCCAGGTCAGCCAATGTTCTCCGTTCCTTCTATAAATAAGCTAACAGACGGCCATGGCATGCCGACTGCTTATGGCTGGTAGGCTGCTCTCTGTTGTACTCCTGCGGTTTTATTCTCATTAGCTAAGACACTGGGTTTGTATCCAAATCTGTTAAAGTCACTTATGCTTGTTAATAGAATAAACTATTAGACAAACAAGTGAAACACAAGAGGGCTGTTAATTTAATGAAAACTAAAGTAACTTAAAAAAAGATTAATAAGGCAAGTTGTTTAGACCAATTCTTAAATTTGGTATGAAGCAAATAAATGTATAAAAGGCTGGGAGAGGGGGCCCGGCGACATGGCCTAGTGGCTAAAGTCCTTGCCTTGAATGCGCCAGGATCCTATATGGGTGCCTGTTCTAATCCCAGAAGCTTCACTTCCCATCCAGCTCCCTGTTTGTGGCATGGGAAAGCAGTTGAGGACGGCGCAGAGCATTGGGACCCTGCACCCACGTGGGAGACCAGGAAGAGGTTCCTGGTTCCTGGCTTTGGATCTGCTTGGGGAGTGAATCATCAGATGGAAGATCTTCCTCTCTGTCTCTCCTCCTCTCTGTATATCTGATTTCTGAATAAAAATAAATAAATCTTAAAGTAAATGGAAAGGATCAATTAAAAAAAAGAAAAAGTGGATTTCTTTTTTCCCATACTGTTGAAAGTATTTGTTAACTATGTTTTAATGAAAAGTAAAGTTAAAAATTATATAGGGAGCCTGCATAATGCCCTTGTTGCTAAATCCTTGCATATGCCTGGATTCCATGTAAATGCGGATCCATGCTGGTTGCTCCACTTACCATCCAGCTGCAAAAAAAAAAAAAAAAAAAAAAAAAAAAAGAAAAGAAAATGAATTTGTTTTTCTGCACATAGGTGATAAAAGCAAAGGCCTTGAAGGCAGGTGTGTCAAACTCAGTGTAACAATGATCAAAGTCTTAAACAAAAAGAAAAATATTCTGGATGAATAATCTACCTGAGAGCAAGGTGCAAAAAATCAGTGGCTCCATATACAAGTAGAAGCTTTGGCATTACGATAGATTACCCACAAATGAATACATATTCATACTTGGTCTCTCTCTTTTAAAAGCTTATTTATTTGAAATGCAGAAATACAGAGCTACAGAGAGAGGGAGAGATCTTCCATGTACTGCTTCACCCACCAAATGGCTGCAGACCCTGGGGCTGGGCCAGGCTCAGCCAGGTGCTAGAGGCTTCACCTGAGTGTTCCGTATGGGTGCCTTCTGCTGCTGCTTTCCCCATGTACTAGCAGGGAGCTGGACTGGAATTTGAACGGGCACCCACACGGGATGTTGGAATCCCAGGTGGTGGCTTACCCTGCTACCACAATGCTGGCCCCTGGCATGAATCCTGAGGACGTTGTGTTCCCTGAAATAAGTCAGCCACAAAAAGACAAATATATGCTCCCAGTTACAGTAGGCACCCAGAAAATTCAGACAGTAAGATGGTGGACCGGGAGTTGTAGGGAACAGGGCATTATACAGACCAAAGCTGGCCTTGTCACATAAAACCAGTGATTTGCCATGAAAAGCCACAATTATTTCTTTTCAGTTAAGTGAAAACTGTACAGGACAAAAGCACGAAGCCTGCAGTCTGACAGCTCGGGCTCCACCCTGACCTGACATTTTCCGGGCTTCTCCGAAGCACCCTTGCACTTGGATGACGCTATCGCTCTTTGAGATTTTTACAAAGGATTTGTTTGTTTTGAAAGTCAGAGTTACAGAGAGAGAGGAGGGACACAGAGGCCCACACACTTGGGTCATCTTCTGCTGCTTTTCCCAGGCCACTGGCGGGGAACTGGCTCAGCAGTGAAGTGGCAGTACAGGAACACTGCCGACACTGCAGGCGGTGACTTCACTTGCTGTGCCACAATGCTGGCCCTCAGACTCCCTTAAACCATATTAGTAGTTTTAATTCTCACATTAAATTATTAATAAAACCTACTCTGTCATGAAATCCATATAAGCAGATATATAACAATGGTTTAAATATATCTTTTCATAAACATTGCTTCAAATTGCTAAGTTCCAGCTAAAGAATTTTTTTTTCTCTAATAGTATCTGCATAAACTCAAAACGTACCCATTTCATAATAGGGGCCCAGAAGAAAACTGTCCGGGGACCTGAAAAAAGGAAAAAAATCAAGCAATAAATAAATCAAATAAATCAAATATTTACATGTGGCTTCATTTAATAGCCACCATCAAATTGCACAAAGCTGCATCAATTTCTATTTGTGTCTACTATGCCGTCCGCGCACTTTGAATCTAACATGTAGAAGAGCATCACAATATCACTCTTTTTATGATTTCCTTGTCGATTCTTGACACTCCTGTGAGATGCTAAATTAGTTAATATATAATGGAGACAGTTTCAAAAACCATTCCCAGCTCTTTGCCTCGATCCAGGAACTTAATGTTACTTTAGTCACAATCTTCAAATTGATGAAATTTCAAGTTACGTAATTTTAGTGATAGGTATGGGAATTCACTATTTTCATTAATATTTATAACTTTAAGAACATTTACCATGTATATTCTATTCAAAAGTCTAGTACAAATTTTAAAACATACATAAGAAACACAAAAGACAAGATGTGTAATTAGCAGAATTGCTGCTTTAGTCACCATGACACCCATATGCTTTGTCTAATATGTTAAATAAATAAGTAAAGCAGTGAAAGCGACTCTGGTTTCTTAGATAACTGAGAATTTGAGAAGCACACTTCAGAGTTGGGAGGAAACTCAGCTCATCTAATGCAAATGTTTCATTTTAGCACCAAGATTCCGAGCAGCTCCATGAACTGCACCCAGTCCACGGAGCTAGGAAACAGAAGATTATGACTGGAACTCACATTTTCAAATTCTCAACTGGCCACGATCAACTCTTCCAAATCATACACTTCTTTTAACCTCCAGGGGACATTTTTAACCTTCAGGGGACAAGTGCCATTGTAGCCACTTGGGGAGTGAACCAGGGGAAGGAAGATCTTTCTTTCAGTCCTTCTCTTTGTATATCTGCTTTTCCAATGAAAAAATAATTTTTTAAAATAAATCTTTAAAAGAAAAAAAAAAGACAGTACTAGCCAAGCTGCCAAAGTATGTACGGGTGAGCTCTGTGAGGGATCATGCAGTGGCCATGGCAGCCTTAGGGACCTTTTCCTGCTGTAAGATCAGAATGCAGGGTAGGGAGTAGATGGGCATCTAATGCCAAACACATCTACCTTCCCATCAATGTCTCTGATGAAACAAGTAATCAAGTTAAACTTGCCTTACAACAAAGTGATGGCAAAATAAAGAATAAGCTAAGAAGCAGTTGTGGTGCTACAGACAAACCATCGAGAGACTCAGGTTAACTACTGCATGCTTGGTATACCAGGTCAGAGAATATGCTGCTAAATGAAACACTCCGCTGACCTTCTGTGCTCCAGCAACATGAAGGTTGCATACGGAAGGTTATGACTTAAAGCCATATGAAAACATTCTAGGGAAAAGTCATTCGCAGGTACTTTACCAAAACCATACCTGCTATTTTCAATTTCATGTAAAGCCATTGTTTCCACTGAAAATGAACTCAAACACTCCTTTTTGGGGGGCGCATTTGGGCTGAAGTTCTGTTAAAAGCACTTGGGTAAGTGTATCTTTAAGCAGAAAAAAGTAGAAAATGTAAAAACGGCACCTGCTTCTGTAACTTTTGATTAACAACAGTTTCAAAAAAGCATTACATGCCATGAGCTGGTCCTTGCCTAGAGCATTTAGGGACAGCTGTGGTAGACACACTGTGAGCTGGTCCTTGCCTACAGCATTTAGGGACAGCAGTGGCAGACACCCTGTGAACTGGCCCTTGCCTAGAGCATTTAGGGACAGCCGTGGTAGACACACTGTGTGGTCCTTGCCTACAGCATTTAGGGACAGCAGTGGTAGACACCCTGTGAGCTGGTCCTTGCCTACAGCATTTAGGGACAGCAGTGGTAGACACCCTGTGAGCTGGTCCTTGCCTAGAGCATTTAGGGACAGCTGTGGTAGACACACTGTGAGCTGGTCCTTGCCTAGAGCGTTTAGGGACAGCCGTGGTACCCATTTTGGACTACTCCACAGTTGCTACAGTTTTTCATATTTTCTCACTTCATTCAAACCTCTTCACGTTACCCTTAGGGCTAATTTCATTAATTCAACTTGATTTTAATACAAAGAATTGGAAATAGACTTTGAAGCCTACGATGGTACACTTAAAATATTCTACCATGGTTAGTGTACTTGCCTATCAATATTATGACTTCTTCATGCCAGTGGCTAAATACTATTGGTACTTCTACCTCTCCTACCTAATAGAATAAGAAAAGGCAGCTAGCACAGTTGGAATCAGTTTGTGCATTTTTTTCCTAATAATTTAAGCCTCATCCTGGCATCTCTCACATAGGCTCAGAGGACCCAGTCCTTGTGTCACTTTCTGCTGCCTCCCAGGCACATTAGCAGGGAGCTGGTTCTGGAAGTGGAGCAGCTAGGACTCCAACCATTGCTCCTGACAGAGGATCCTGTTTGCAGGTGGCAGTTTAACTTGCTGTATCACAAGGACAGCACAGAATCAGTTTATATTAACATATTGCTCTAATATAAGAACTATGTTTTGTGCATATATAACATATACACATGCATACCATAATATATAATACACACATATGTTCATAAACTTAAAATATGATAAGATAGTAAGTTATTTTTGTCAATCTAATATTTTTAAATATTGTTTGCCTAATACTTTGTAGTGCTTTAAAATAAATTTGCTGACTTCCCAATTTAATCCTATAATGCATCCACTGCAAGCCAAGTCTTAACAGTCTTCACCAGGAGCCAAATACTGTCCTCAAAATAATTTTTCAAATGCCAGAAGGTCATAGCACAGACTTTATCTTTTCTTTATGGGCCCAACCAACTATATTGTTAAACTTCATTTTCTCATATATATCTGGTATCTAATCATTTTCATATTTTCCTGTGTGTTCCAATTTTGCATATTTTATGCTGTGGAATCTAGAGATAGTGCTAAAACAATTATTGAGAGAATTAAAACGATCAAGCAATTCTAAATCGTGATGTCCTTTCAGCTGAGTGTAATACTCACTTTGAGGTTCCTTCAACTCTGTGCTGCTGGGATTACAGACATCTTTCCAAACCCAGAACCCTGTCCACCTCTCTCTATTTTGAAAAGATATGTGAGGAAATGTTTGTTTTTCCCTTTGGTTAGAGTAAGATGGAATTTCAAAAGAGATTTTATCAAGGAAAAAAATAACCTAAAAACATGAAGGTGATTGAGCTTCAGAAAATACCTTTATAATGATAATTTTGCCAAGTTTTAGTCCAACTTAGTGGTCTCAACCAGGGGACCTGGCCCCCCAGGGCATTAGGCGGTGTGTACAGTCGTGTTTAGCTGTCACAGCTTGGCGGGTGTGTGGGTATGTGCCATCTGCGGGCAGTGGTCTGCGATGCTGGCCTTCTGTCTCAGGGAGAACAGCTCCCCACAGCCAGGAACCATCCAGCTCGAAATGCAGGTCAATAATGCAAAGTTCAGAAAGCCCAGTCTGGGCAGACCGATAAACCAGGCAACAATCCCACGAGCCTCACGATGCTGTATGTCTTCACACTGAAGTCTGTGCTCTCCCTCCCAATATCTGGCCTTCAAAAAGTCACCTGTGGTTTCATTCCCTAAAGGAACTATTCTGTAACAGATTAGGTGAACTACCCCTTCTCTGTACCATCTTAGTACCTGTATAGTCAGTCTTTCATTATTTTCTATATTTTTAAGATTTACTTTTTTTTTTTAATTTGAAAAGCTGATTTATAGAAAGAAGGTATCTTCTATCTACTGAATCACTCCCCAAATGGCCACAAGGGCCTGAGTTGAGCTTATCCAAAGCCAGGAGCCAGGAGCTTCTTCCAGGTCTCCCACATGGGTGTAGAGGCCCAAGGACTTGGGCCATCATCCCCTGCTGCAGTTTCCAGACCCTCACCAGGGAGCTGGATGGGAACTGCAGCAGCTGGAACGCTAACCAGCATTCATACGGATGCTGGCACTTGAAAGCAGAAGATCAGCTTGTCCGGCACACTGGCATTGCAGAGGATTAGCCTGTTGAGCCACTACATCAGCCCCCTTGTTTTCCCCACTAACTAAAATGTTACATACCTGTCACTTTGACAGATAGCCAAGGTCCTTAAAGACAAAGCGATTTTTAATTTTACATGACAAACATTAAATCTTTGTCATGAGAATTAAACCAGATTAATTATATTGAGGATAGGTGCTAATCAAAGATATTAAAACACTAGGTCTGCCTCAGATTTTTCTCAATGCGAATTAGTCTTCATGGCTGGAATTTACTAGTTACCCATCTCTAGGGATGGTAGGCCCCTTTATACCAGGGCTGTAATACTGGACTTACACGCCTTAGTTTCTAAGACGGTGGTCCTCTTTCCGTGAATCTGACACCAGGATGCGCTGTTTGGATAAGCTTATCTTTCCAAACTACCTGGTAATTTCTTTTTGATTGAGCTGCTGGGATTGCTATCACTACAGCTACCATTCTTTTTCTGTTAGAGTCTCTGTATCACACACAAGGTCAATTACTAAGTTTACTTTTTCCCTGCATGAAGCTTTTAAAACAGTCTGAACATTATTTATCTTCATATTGAACTCTTCAGCAAACTCCTTTCTATTTCAAAACTAACCTTGGCAGTTAATGAATAGTCACGGTTTCCAGTAGTTTTGCTGGCAACTAATTTATTCAAATGCTCTGAGCTAGCTGAGAGTTTAAAATATTAACTGCCTTTGCTTTCCACCCACAATTAAATCAAACATGGGGAGACAGACAGACACACACACACACACACACACACACACCCTTTAAAGACTAAGCTGCACCTGCTAATCAGAGGCAAGAGAAGTATTTTAATCAGTAAATAATTTCAAGTCCTAAACCGAGAAATATCAGTAGCAAGCCTAAGTTGTTAATTTTTCTGATACCAAAGGAGGCTGACAAGTGATTCAAACAACAAGAGCTGGGTTCCTACAAATGCACTCAAGCTGTGTTTTCTTAACTACTAAAAAGACATGACTAAGTTGTTGTGCC